AAAAGACATTTATTTTTAGTTATGTGTCTGTGCCCATGGATGTGGGTGCTCAGGGAGGATGGAGGTGTCAGATTTCCTAGAACTGGAGTTCTATGTGGCTGTGAGCCATCGGATATAGGTGTTGGGTAGGAGTCAAACAACACCATCATTTTGAAATATCACTAGCTTATGCCGAAGATATAGGCCAGATTCTCTATTTAATACACCAATTTGTTCTCAAAAATCCATTAACAATATTATCATTAAACTAGGGAGATAATTACTTTGGATACATATGGAGTGTACAAAATCCTAGGCCCACTGCAGCTGGTAATAATGGCCATGTGTTATGAGAGACTTAAGAACAAAGATATCAAAACCATTGCAGCACACACACATAATTGTCCTCCAAACTGAAGAATCAATACAGTTAGCAAATTCTTGAAAGCATATTGGAGTAATCCAATACAGACAATAAAGAACATTTTCAAGGTATTAGGAGTTAGAACTTGAAATTCATAGTATTTAATGAAAAGGGAAGCTACCAGAATTCTCTTCTGTAGGATACCACAGATAAAATTTACATCTATAAATTACTTCCATGTAAATATTATTTTCATACTCAAGAAAATGTAGTATAAGATAAATGACCTCACTTGAGGCAACTTTAAAAAGACCTTATATATTTCATCATATCACTTTTTTTTCCTGTACGGGTAGCTTGCGTCTGTGCACTACAAGCATGCAGTACACACAGAGCCTGGGAGAGGGCATCAATATATTTGGAACCAGAGAAAGAGAAATGTGTTCAACTATATTTATAGCAGCATTGCTTGTCATAGCCAGGACCTGGAAACAACCTAAATGCCCCTTGACTGAAGAAGGGATAAGGAAAATGTGGTACATTTGCACAATGGAGTACTACCCAGCAGAGAAAAATAATGATATTTTGAAATTTGCAGGCAAATGGATGGAGCTAGAAAACATCATATTGAGTGAGGTAACCCAGACCCAGAAAGACAATTATTATATGTACTTACTAATAAGTGGATTTTTAAACATAAAGCAAACATTACCAACCTACAAATCACATTCCCAGAAAACGACAACAATGAAGACCCTAAGAGAGACATACATGGATCTAATCTACATGGGAAATAGAAAAAGACAAGATCTCCTGAGTAAATTTAGAGCATGGGTACCATGTGTGGGAGGTCCTTCTGTCTATGTGTTGCTTTAATTGGTTAATGAATAAAGGAACTGCTTTGGGCCCATGGCAGAGCTATAGGGAACAGAGCTAGGCAGGGAAAACTAAACAGAATGCTGGGAGGAAGAAGGCAGAGTTAGAAGGATGCCATGAATCTGCCACCTGAGATAGATGTGCTAAAATTTTGCTGATAGGCTATGACCTCATGGTGATATACAGATTAATAGAAATAATTTAAATGAAGATGTAAAAGTTAACCAATAAGAAGTTAGAGCTAATGGTCAAAGCAGTGTTTTAATTAATACAATTTCTGTGTGATTATTTTGGTTCTGGGCGGGCCGGGATGAACAAGTAGGCCCTCCTCCTATAGGGACCATGGGAGAGGGTTGAAGGGGAGGGAAAAGGTAGGGAGGGAAGTAGAGAAAAATGTATAGCTCAATAAAATCAATAAAATGTTTATTGTTAAAAAAGAATTTGAAATGTAAGCAAAATTCTGTTTTCTCCAAGTTATTCTGTATTTTTTTCAAAATTGGTTATTTTTATAAAACATAAATAAATATTTTGTCTCAGAATCAGGCTCATTTATATGTCCTGAAGCAAAAAGAAACAGGGAGATTTTAAGAGTCTGCAGATACTAGAGTCTGAATTAAACTTGAATAGCATCTTTAAATAAGAGAGAAAGAGAGAAAGAGAGAAAGAGAGAAAGAGAAAGAGAAAGAGAAAGAGAAAGAGAAAGAGAAAGAGAAAGAGAAAGAGAAAGAGAAAGAGAGACTGCTGTGAGCCTCCAGCGATGCTGGGAATCAAACTCAGGTCCCTAGGAAACACAGTGAGTGCTCTTAACCACTTAGCAGCCTCTTCAGCTCCACCCTCACATTTCATTTTCTTTCTAAAACGTTAACGATTTTTCTAGTCCTTTAAAATATATTAAAGTTTACATTAAGGATATATCTTTGAGTAGACTTGGAGATCATTATGCTAAGCATAAGAAGCAGAGTTTGAAGGACAGACATTGCATGTTTTTCATATATTAAATCTAGGCTTTTTAAGGCAGAAAAATAGAGGAGCCATTTAGGAAGAGGAAGGAGACTCCAGTGATGTGAACCAAGACAGGGTGAAGCATGTCAGAGGAGGACAGGATCAAAGTGTGCTACATGCATGTACAGATTGTCACCAGTTAGTCTGTGAAAATAATGTATGCTAATAACAATACCTAAGAGGTTTCATATGCCTAAAGAAGCAATAAAACATCACATATAGTTCTGGCAGTTGAGGATAGCTATCAATATTATTTTGATTAAGTAATTTTTATTCTTTTCAACTATCTCCAGATTAAATTCTATATGAAAAACATTACAATAGGACAATGTCAAAGTATACTTTGATAACTTCCTGTATTTACTTATATAGATCATGGGTTTTTATGTTAGTAATTTTTCTATATACATTTTAATGACTTTACAGCATGGTGAGACCAGTAAGTGCATTTTAATAACTTTATATGTCTCCTGGATTTCTTTATTATACACACTCATAATAACATTAGCATTCTCAGAGTTCCTTCCATGTTTAAGTCTCATCAATGATCCCTCAGGGCTCTACCCTTCTACTCTGCTTTTTTTAAGTGTAATATTTGCCTTTCCCACCTTGAAGTTTTTTTTTTCATTTATGGGCTGTGAAGGTGAAAGATTATTCTGTCCAAAAAAATTATTGCTTGTTTTAAATCCTTCACATTCATAATACTGATGTACATTTTTTTAATTCTCATCCTCTATCCAGAAAGGGTTTCCTACTCCCATCCTTACCCAAATAACATCATTGCAAAATACTTAGTGAGTTTCTCCTTGGTTAGTCACATGGAACCAGGCCGTTGTTTATTGTTCTTCCTATTAGACTCTTACATTCCAAGTGAAAAAGATTGGCGACTAGGGTGGATGCAAGGTGGGGGATGGGGGTGAAGGAGGGGTGCTGATCAGACTGTAGGTGCTCAGCCATGTGTGCCTCCTACCAGATTTTATGGCCCTAGGATCCCATAACAATTCTGTCATTTACTTTTGCTGCCTGTTTGCTGAGCACTGGAGCTGCCTCACTTGCAGGCCTGGAACTCTGTGGAAAGTTTTCTTCAGGGACTGTAATTTAAGAGCACAGTCTGATAAATATGCCTATGGTGGTAAGGTAATCACCTGAGGACATGTCACCATTTGTCCTCCACCTGCTCCTCTGCTAGGCAAAAGGGAAGAAAGGAAGGGGGAATGAAGAGGGAGATGTGGAGAAAAAGGATCAGGAAGGTAGGTGTGTTTTTTTAAAACAAATATGACAGAAAAGTAGTACTGAAACACTATTATGTAATATTTTAAAATCTAGATCAATTTGAAATTTATATTTTAAAATTTTGGGATTTTTATACTATGCAGTACCAACTTTATATTCAGATGGGATAATCTTGAGAACAGTTCCAATCACAAATGCATGTCAAAATTATTATTTTAGTTAATACAATTCTGTAAATAATTAATTTTATCACTTATGAATCACCACCTCTCCATCTGCATATAAATGTGCTCATTTTTTTTTTATGTGTTATACTAATGGGTAACATGGATGCCAGAGGGATGTACTTCTTGATACCTTCTTTTTCTTTTCAGATTTTACGGAGCAGAAATCTACCAAGTGTGAATGAGCCTAGAGACTGATAGAGAGGAGGAAATGGCAATCATACAGAAATCCAGTCAAAGGCCTTGATTACAGAATTACAAAATTACACTCCTCACTCTGAATACAGTACCACTAAACCTCCAGGGACTCATCACAACTTTAAATCTGAGTATGTCCCTAAGGGCCACTTCTGTAGCTGGAATAGAAAAAGCCAGTCTTTTATAATCTTGAAACCACAAATAATAAAAAATCAAAGTTGGTAAGTCAAGTGTCAGAGCAGAAATCAATAAAGTGACAGTCACCAAAGACACATGTAACCTGTCATAAAAAAATCAAATGATTTATATAGTTGGCCTGCAAAATAAAAGTAGTAGGTGATGTATTAAATAGATCTGCTCTTTTGAAATCATAGTCTGAGTTTTCAAAAGTAAAAAGATAGAGCCCTCAGTATATAAGAATGCCTAGTCAACCCTGGAAGGGTTTACCATTTTTTACCTCGTAAGTATTCTATAACTAGAGCCAATGACCCTAATAAATTACAGCATCACACCAGACAGAGTAGAGGTTCTGAATAGTAAGGGTTGCTCTCATTGTAGAAGAAGGATGCAAATTAGTTCATCATACTGAAATTAAAAGTGAATATTAATGAGAATTAATAATTCAAATTGGGGAGATAAAAAGGAAATGTTATTCTATCAGATCTGTGCTGAAGTCACTTTTGACTTATCCTTATGACTAAAGAAAACTACATAAAAGTCTAAGTATAACATTAACTTTATAAATGAAATGTAAATGACTTTCAATTCCAGGAGTGCCACCAAGAGTAAAATGTATCCTGGCTCCTGGAATCTAAGCCTTTGGAATCTGTGTAGGAGCCAGTACTTTAAATACCACTCTCAGTGTCTTTTGTACACTTTGGGTGTTAGGCAGACCCTTTGAGGAACTCTGTGAGGGAGAGATTGGGTGGTCCTCTGCACCCTTACCTTCTTGCCCTGTGTGTCTTACAGCTGTTCTAAGTCCTACTCCATGTACATCCTAGTTTAGCTGGAGGATTCACAAAAGTGCTTATTTGTCTTAAATTTAATTGCTTTTAGTTTGTCTCCTTTCCAATAACAAGCAAGTAACTTTTGATGTAATTAACAGTTGCTCTAGTTTCACTTACCTTCACATGTTCATGCTCATCCAGAAAGTTCTATACGCACAGAGGAGAGACTTCCAAGAATATGCCAAAGTGGGTGTCAGCTGGCCTTTGGGACTCTTGAGGTAGGCAGCAGAAACCACCAGGCTTAAGCCAGTGGAGCTTGGTTATCTCTAAACAGAGCAGAGAGATAGACACTTGGTCACATGTAATCTACAATCACCAGGATCTGTCATAAACAAGGTTATTCTCAGTAAACTAACAGTGTTACTAAATTTAAACTTGGACAAGGCTAGTTGCTTCCTGATTTAGCTCAGTTGTCATTTAAAATTTCATGACATTATGAAGTCAACATCACAGAATGAGTCTAACTCCAGAGGAATCAGTTGGAGTTCCTACTGTGGTAACTGACTATTTTTTTTAACCAATGAATTAAGAGGTATATTTACTAAATTTATCTTTACACAGAGGTTTCCAAGGGACCTCATCAACCTTGGCTGAGAAATTCAGTATGAATTTAGCACTCACATATCAAAAATAAATTTAGTAAATGACAACTGAGCTAAATCCTATTAATTTTGGAAAGCTTTTTACTAATAGCACTGGGTTTGGGGATAGAGAGATGACTTATAGGTGAAGAACATTTGTTGCTCTTCCACAGGATGCAGGCCCGTTTCCAGCACCCACATGATGTTCCAGGGCATCTGATGTCCTCTTCAGACCACCTCAGGCACTGAATACATGTAGTACATAAAAATACTTTCTGAAAATTTATAAATAAATTGTATTAATAAAACTAGTAAAAATAAAATAATACAATGGAATTTTTACTCCTTGTATGGAGAAGCATTTCTGGCAGACAAAATCCTCCCCAAACTGCTAAGCATGTGCTCCGCAGTGACTGTAGTGATGTCTCTTTCCTCACTCCCTATCACATAGTCTATAATTAGGGGAAGGTTTCATTCTGTACAGGAAAGGATGGTGATAGTACAATAAAGAATATAGGTTAGTAGTTAGTCATCTATAACAATAAAACTTGTAGTTATGTTAGATATGTTTTCAAGATATCTTCAAACATCTTCAAACACCTCAAGGACCCACAGAATATGCCATTTAAAATGTTTAAATAACATAAGGATTTTTTATGACAGTGAGACATACTACTCCTGGCAGTGCCAATCTACTTCAAGAAAGGGTAATGGTCATCAAAGTACTGCCATATGGAGTTTGTTTTTATTGTGGCAAAGTTAGCCACTGGGCAAAGAAACTGCTGTTGCTTTCACAACTGACACTATGATGTCCAAACTAGACAAGCAGGGAACCAAAAAAGCAATATTCTAAGCATGTAAGTCAAAGATGGATTCTCCAACCTTGCAGAAGAACCTTGGGTAACTGTCAAAAAAGCCAAATGTTTCTGTCATTTCTGTAGTTTTGGAAGTTGTTTTCTCTATACTCAGGTAATATTATATTCTTTTCAGGTCCCTGATGGAGTTGAAAATCAGGTAGTTATAGTTATAGTTTTCCTTGTTACCTAATTCAAAAAAGAAATTTATAAAAAAGGTATAAAGTATACAAGTTTGAGAGATATAAAAGCTTAAATTGTTTATCTAAGAAGATATTTTGAGGTTAAAAAAGATTGGCTGGAATTAGAAATACAAGTTATGATAAAAATGGTGTATATATATATATATACATACATATGATAGATAATAATTTCTCCAAATACAAATGGACTGGACATTGTAAATGTTATTCTTTCACAGTGATTGTTCTCATGGTATATAGTTTTACTGTATTAGAGTTGAAACTTTTTTATTTGGACGGAAAGGAGGAAATGTTGCAAGATATTTGGTAATGCTGTGTAAAGATATGTCACAGTGATCAGTTTAATAAAAAGCTAAATGGTCAATAGCTAGACAGGAGGTATAGGTGGGACTTCCAGGTGGAGACAGTACTGGGAAGAAGAAATGGGAAGTCGCTAGCCCGGTGCAGAGAAAGCAGGGCATTTAGAAAGAAACATAAAAGCCATGACCCATGTGGCAATGTGTAGATTAATAGAAATTAATTAATATAAGCTGTAAGAGATAGAAACACAACTAAACTAAGGCTAAGTTTTCATAATTAATAAATCTCTGCGTTGTTATTTGGGAACTGGCTGGTGGGACAACAAGAGACTTGTTCCACCAGATTGACTTCAAATTCATACTCCTGCTACAGCCTCCCATCAAGAACCATAGGCAAGCTCCATTGCTTTGGACTCCTGGATAATGTGAGTCTGTATTTTCCCCTTCCTCTCCATAATCTATTCTTTTTCCTTCATTATCACTCCACCAAGATCTTGTCTGTTGTTTAGTATTTAATATGACTTTTTGCTTCTTTCTCTCTCCTATGTTACCTTTCCCCCTTGGGTTATTTTCTTCTCCTAGTATCTAGTGTTATCTTTATACTTTATGATTGCTCATTCTTAAACCTTGTATGGAAACTTTCAGTCCATTGCAAAGGTTCTTGGGATATAGAACAATACTTGATGCAATTTCATGGCCCCTAAACCTGTGTTGAACTCCAGTTTCTTGCTGGGTACAGTGATGTGCACATGTTATCACAGCACAGTGTTAAGAAAATTGTGGAGTTTGAAGCAGGCCTGGGTTGCACAGTGAGATTCTATTTATCTCAAAAACCAAAAGGAATCAAACCACATCACAGCATTATTTCCAGAAATTAAGGACCATTTCTGTTTACCACAGTTTTAGTGACATAGCTTTCAACAAAGTGCTCAACAGATAACCAGCTCTCCAGAAATGTAAATCACTCATGAACTGTGTTATCAAGTTTTGCTTCGTGCTTTGAATTCTGGATTACTTATAAGCCTCTTGAAGGTAAGGCTATGTCTGGTATATTTGTTGGTAACTGATAGCAAATGTCGTACAAGCAGCAGATTTAAGATGTATGTCATTTGTTGGCGTTGATAATGCACTGTAGGTCCTTTTTCAAAAGCTGCTTTCTCCTCTCTCACAAATGGCTAGGTTATTTCTTCTCTACATTATTAGAAGTAAGCAAGGGGAAGCATACCATTTTGTCAAAAAATCAGAAAAAATATCTGATTCTATGGAAGTATTCTAATGTTGTGTAAGTTCTATAGATTAGTTAGGAAGAATCTCTTTGCATATGAGCAGCCTTTCAAGAAACTGGCTAAGTGAAAAAACGTTGGCGCTTTCCAATATGACATAAATATTATTTAAAACTGGAGGCAAAATTTCCTATTTTTGATCATTAAAAACTCAAGCTTTTCTGAATAGAACTCATTCATTTGGAAAATAGTTCCTATAAATGAGTTCCTAAATATTGAATCTGAAAAAAGGAATTTCAGTAATTCAAAGGGGGGTCTACTATCCTATATTATACACAGAACTTACTTTAAATGAAGGAACTGTTTTGTAAGCAATCTAACTTGGGTACTTGTGGAGGAAGCTGAAAGGAATGACATAGTATACATGGGAAGATATATGTATACAGGAGGATGGTGCCATGTTTGTGTCCTCAGGGCTCCTGACTGTATGTAGCATGGCTAGATACTGTTTTCTGAATGAAAGACAGAGAGACTGAATAAGAAATTTGGAGGCAAAGAAATCAAGAAGCCAAGAAATAGAAAAGTAGGCAATGAAAATTTTGTACTTGAACAAAATTTTTAATCCACCAGTCCTGAAGAGCAATGCTGAAGTTTTCCCAGGCAAATTTACTTAGTAAGTAACTGCCTTTGAGCTTCTAGAGACTGTTGTTCAGTTCTACATCCTTTCTAGATGGTTCAGAGTATTGCATCTGTTACGAAACTACAGAAAAGGAAGGATGGAAGTGAGGATAGAGAAAGAAGGATGGAAGGGAGGATAGAGAAGGAAAGAAGTCATTCTTCATGAAATGCAGTTTGAGAATGACTACAATGAGTTCTTGAAAGAAAAAAAAAAAAAGAGAGCCGTCTGTTAACACCTTTTATCCGGAGTACCAAGAGATAGTTCAGAAAGTCAGTGAATCACAACTTAATACTCAATTGTTTCTCAACAAAATAGATCCCATCAGAGTATTAATCATGCTTTCATTTCTTTTGTGGCTCAGATTTCATAAGAAGGTCAATTCTGCACCATTTAGTTTTGCTCTTTGATATATATATATATTTTCATATTTATGGAATATATGTAATGAGTTTAACCGAAAGATGAAAGAATAAAGTCTTATACTTTGCCTCTTCATACATTTGTGTACATGTTTTTTTGATATAGCAAAACTTATTTCAACCTACTGAATCTTCCCTTAGCATGGTTTTAAATTTTATTTTCTTATTAAAACTAAAATTGAGTTTGTCTTTTTGCATCAAAAATCGAAGCATGTACTATAATTACAGTGTTAGACTTTGTGTTTCTCTTTTAAATGATTATTTTGTTAAGAGTAGGAGATTTCCAGGAAGTGGTGGAGTACAACTTTAATCTCAGAACTTGGGAGGCAGAGGCAGGCAGATCTTTTTGAGGTTGAGGCCAGCCTGGTCTACAGAGCAAGTTTCAGGACAGCTGTTATGCCGAGAAACCCTGCCTCAAAAAACAAAAACAAAAAAACAAACAAACAAACAAAAAAGAGCAGGAGATTGCTTACTCATGTTCACTTATGTAGGTGTTCTCAATACTGGCTACTTCTCGTTCACATATATTGAGTACCCTTTGACAACTTCCACTGACAAAATTGTATTTTTCCCTTATATCTTAAAAACTTCTCAAGGAGGCAGAAATATAATACTGTAATATTAGAGATAATTAAATGAAAACAATATACACATGGTTACCCCTAGATGATCAATTTTCTGTGGGTGTGTGAGGGTGGGTGGGTTTTTTGTTTTGTTGTTCTTTTGTTTTGTTTTTGTCAACAGGGGACTGAAGGGTCTGGACACTGGACACTCCCAACATGTACCTAAGGAGATCTGAAAATAAGGTCATTGCAAGATACAGTGGTGGACCATGACTAAAGAAACTCAATTTATCTGACAGCAGAAAGGGCGATAGCTATATCAGAGCAGCTGTTAATTACTTAAAAAGCCATTCTGATATAGAGCATATAGTTTTGTGGAAAGCAATTAGAACCACAGGGACTTTCCAACTAAAAGGCGAAAGTATGAGTCTCTAAGGTTAACCGG